GCACCCAATACTCGCAAACCGGCACCTCGATACACGCATCAAAATGACGACTTTGAAGAGCGTTGTCATACCGCCGCTAGAGTACGCCAGAAAAGTATGGGAAGGAAATAAGAAGGTAATGAAAGAAGTCAAGGCGGCGCAGATGAAAGCAGCGAAAACCATCCTAGTATGCTCCACGCGCACAAGTAATGCAGCCGTCAGGGCAGAATTGGGGATCCAATGCCTACGGTCGGGAAGGCACGTGAGGAAGCTGACCTGGCGGTATCGCATGTACGGGATGGGAGACGAGAAGTTGCCGAGAATTGTATGGGAGGCGAAGTGGGCAAACAAAAAGAGGGGTAGACAACCCACGGAATGGGTCAAGGTTGTAGAGGACGTATGGAAGGGGCTCGACATCGACGAAGATGAAACGCTGGAAACGGAGGGTCTACAGGGGTTCAAGGAGAAGATATCTGTTGCTTGTGCCGAGAGAGAAGAACAGAATCTGAGGAAAGAATCCAAGGATAAGGAGGGTCTAGAAGTGTACGGAATGTTGAAGGAAGGAATAGGGTTCAAGGACTACCTACATGGACCAATGGATGCAGGAACAAAGCTTAAGGTCAAATTCAGGACCGGGGACATAGGCCGTCGAGAACGTCGACTAAGATATAGGACGGTAGACGAGGAAGACGACGAGTTCAAATGTGATTGCGGCTTCGAATGCGAAGACCGTGTTCATGTAGTCGCGGAATGTCCGTTGTACAAGAAGGAGAGGGAAGTGTACGTGACTGAGCTGGGAAAAATAGATCGGACTTACAGGGAGATGTTTGAGGCATGTAGTAGAGAGGAAAGGACGGTAGCTGTAGTGGGGCATAGGAGGTGGGTTGAAAAGGCGGGAAGGGATATCGTTAGGATAGACAGACTAGGGAAGACATTTTTGAGCCACCTTTGGCAAAGTAGGAAGGAACGATTGGCCATCGGTGATCGGTCCTGTGGGAACAATGCTCCGTCCTCTCGAGGACGCGTGGTCAATGGTCTAACCGCTAAGGCATGCAAAACATAAGAGTACGCTCCCCCCCCACCCGTCCTTGATCGAATTCACTCCCTCTCCCCCCTCTCTCCCGGTACCAACAGGAGGACGACTCCGCGGCTAGCTGGCTGGCCCAGCGTCAGCGGCAGGGACGCAGCACTCCCTGGCGCATCGCCTCCTCCGAGTACGGGTCGAGCGAAGAAATGAGCATTCCCCTCTTGCAGGATAGGAGTTGGCAGGACGGTCCGCGGAAAGGCGGCGATCGTGGGAGTGGTTCTGGGGTTGGCCCCGTGGGTGGGGCGGGGGGGGGNGGGGGGGGGGGGGGGGGGGGGGGGGGGGGGGGGGGGGGGGGGGGGGACCGGGGTCATCTCTTCTCCGGCGAAGGTGGGAAAGCGGATTTTTGTTGATGCACCCCATCGTTTTGGGTTCCGTGTTGTTTGTTGCTGCGTTACTTTTCTCTCCGTGGCCCTGTTATTTTGTGTCCAATTGTATGTGCTCTGCTGTGGTGTGTCCCGCATGGTCGCGCTGGCTACCAAGGTCTGCCGTTTGCACGTTCCCTGTTGTTCACATGTTGGTCTATCCATGATCTGAGATCTCGTGCTGCTTGTTGTAGCTGCTGTACCAGTACGAGGTGTTCGATGTTTCGTTGTGTGGGTGCCCTGAGTGCTGCCTGTGATGGCGCCCGCACTTTTGAACCTCTGGTTTCGGCCGAGACTGGGGTTCTTATTTTGCCGATCATCCCATTGTGGGCTACAAATGACCGCTATGTAGTAGGTATTAGTGTGGGGTTCTTCACCGAGCTCACAAATGGTGCTCAAGTTCTTAGCTTCTGATTTTTTGCGAGTCTCAATTTCTCAACTGCTAAGTTCTTAATTGCGGGCGCTATCTGTAACCCTCTGAGCTCAGGGTGTCGTGGGGGCTTGAAGCCTCGAGTGCTGTTTGCCGTGAGAGTCAGGGCTATCTTGTACTCGTGGTTCTCGACCACCGATCCCTGTCTCCTTGTATCCCTCTCTCCCCTGCTCCTCTGGACGTGCTGTTTTATGACGGCAGATTTGAGCACACCTGGGCCACAATTCAGTGGAAGCAGTGGAGGCTGCGACGGCGTGTTCGGCGTGGGCTGGACAACAGCTACGTCGCCAAGCTGCCCTGGTACCGCCGGGTGTTTTGGGCCTTGGAGTTGCCGTTCATCCTGGTTAGGAACGCTACGGTACCTCCGGTAGAGGCGGACTCGTGGTCACAAGCACAAGCGGCGGTGCGTCCACCACGCAATCCCGTCCCGAATGATGGTACCCCCCCCCCGTCCTTGTTACCTGAGGGGCTGCCGACAAATGGCGAGGACGAAACCTTCCTGCTGTCTTTGAAACCCTTCAGTTTCCCCCCGAAATATATATATATATATGTCATATGTTATACCCCTCCTCCCTGAGCACTTTCTTCCATCCCATTTTGACATGCCTACCGTAAGTGACACAAGATACAACGCCCCCTGGACCGACTTTGAGAGCTCGACTACTCCACGACAAAGGGGATGCCAATAATCAAACGGCCTGTTTTCGGAAATATATTGACATGACGGTTGCAACGCCGTCCGCCATTTTTCGGCAGCGCCACTCTTTGTGGTGTGGAGAAGTCGATCGTTGTGGTTTGAAAATTGTCCCAGGGGGCGTGGGATCTTGTGTCATCTACGGCGCGCCACTTGTATCGAACCGGGGTTCCTTTCATGGCCTGGAATGCTTTTGTGTACGTGTCGGTTGTCGAATATCAACGGCTCTACTGCGTGTCGGTATCAATGGTAAGGTTCCCTTTTTGCTGTCGCGTGAGTGATCCTGCGCGTCCCCCCGCCTCTTTTCCCGCACTTCCAATCAAATCGACTCCCATAGAGTTGTGTCTCTTTTACTCATGTCCTGATCCGTCCCACAGCAGCGCCTTGATTCGTCTTCTCCCCTTTCCCCATACACTCTTTAGATAAGCACGGCGCTGGCGCCGACCCTGGTTGCGTGGGCTTTCGGCGTGTGGGGGACCGACATTTTGTGGGGTTTGACGTGCGGCTGGGCGGCCTTGCTGGGGGGGGTGCCCGCAGGGGTGGGGGTGTGGCTGACGACTCATAAACGGAGGATGCCTGAGGAGAGATGGTACCGGCTCTCGCTGGCCCTCTTGTCGTTCCTGTCGTGCGTGGCCTGGATCTACTACTTCGCGGACCTGGCCGTGATATTGATTGACGTGAGTGCAGTGCGTGTTGAGAGAGACAGAGACAGAGACAGAGACAGAGACAGAGACAGAGACAGAGACAGAGACAGAGGCAGAGACAGAGACAGAGACAGAGACATAGATAGAGACAGAGAGAGAGACAGAGAGAGAGACAGAGAGAGAGAAAGGGAGAGGGCGAGAGAGGGCGACATAGAGACAGAACGAGACAGAGAGAGGGAGGGAGAGAGAAAGAGTCAGGCAGACAGACAGACAGACGGAGACTGACACAGAGACAGAGAGACAGAGACAGACGACTAGAGAGATAGACGGCTCTTTCCCTTCACGCGCTAATACGAATTTCATTGCATTGACCTTCCTTGTTTCAGACAAGTACAACCCAAACACGTAACGTCATGGCGATGTATATTCGAATTAAGCCCCCCGTCCGGGTTCTCGTCCTGAATAACTTTCGAATGGCATGCCTCTTTAACTTGGTGTCTCGATCTCCGATCCCGCCACCCCCCATCTTACGCAATCCCATCCACCGTGCCTCCCTGTTCGGAACCGTTTTTCACCGTGGCAGGAAATCGGTACTACCACGGGCATACCGGGGAGCATCCTTGGGTTGACGCTTCTCGCCTGGGGGAACTCAACGGGGGATCTGGTGACGAACCTGGCCGTAGCAAAAGCCGGGTTTCCGGGTATGGCTATCGCTGGCTCCTACGGCGGTCCGCTCTTCAACGTCCTCCTGGGCGTTGGCATCCCCATGTTTTACAGCTCAGCGAGGTTAGTGACATTGGTGTTATACTTTTGCAGCGTTTTTTTTTTTTTAATGGCGAAGTGGCCTATCCTCCGTTGTTTTTTTGTAATTGGTGGGGTTCCCGAAAAGACGATACTGCTGTACCACATGCCTTCCTCCTGTGTGACAACCCGGATTCGCGCGTCGAAAAGTGCGGGACACCCGCTGCACCCACAGAAAAATATATGGACACCGAACGGTGTGTAATGTGTACAGCCTGGCGTCAGATTAGACGGGACGAACACGCGGACGTAGATGCTGTTCTTGGGCTTTGCTACCATGGTCCTTGTCCTTGTCCTTGTCCTTGTAGTTGCCGATGTCTCGATCACGCACGTACGGTATAGTGAGCCCATAGTGTAGGTCAAAACACGTACTGCAGAAACCATTGCCCCCCCCCCCTCCCCCCCCCCACGTCTCCAACCAGTTATTTGGACGCCCCACCGCTCGCCCCTACAACGCTCCGTCCTCTCACGAACGTGTTGTCAATTGTGTTACCTCCAAGGCACGCAAAACATAAGAGTACACCCCTTTCCCCAACGCAACAACACATGGCAGGTACTACCCGGACTCTGCGGTGTTCGAGCTAGACTCTTCCACCCTCTTCACGGTGGTGATGGTCATCTTCGTCCTGCTGGGCACGCTCCCCGTGGTTGCGCGGTCCGGCTACCACTTTCCCGCGAAGGCCCCCGTTGCCCTGCTCGGTGCGTACGCTGTGTACATGATCGGCGCGGTGTGGTTGACTCTGACCTTCAAAGCAAATTGACGTATAGGGGACGTTCCAAAGTGGTGAAGAGCAAGTTCGCTGGAGCCTGCAAGGGGTGATGGTGTACGATGTACGCGCAACGCTTAAGAGCTTTCGTATGAGCGCAGATTTCTGCGCGCTCTTGAAAGGGGGGTGTAGGGCAGCTGAGGCATCGCTTCCGCAGGTTGCACAGCGGCACCTATACCTACAGTCCTCTGAGTGACTGGATGGGCGAGGCGGCGGAGAGTATTCCGCGTGGCCTATGAGCTTTCCCGAAAATGACTCCCGTGTATGTGACTTCCGCAACGGTCCTTCTATTATGAGTGTGTTGTTTCATGGCGGGGAAAGGAAACCAAGGGTTCGTCAGCTTGCGAGCTCGGCCTGTGGGTCGGACGGAAGGGGTCAAGAGCAGGCCTTATCAGATGGTGTGCTTTTTTCGCGGGAGATACGCGTCTTACGTGGGCAACATGTCGGACGGGGGACACACAGAGGTCTAGCAGACCGCCGTTCCATTGTCCGGCACAGCTACTCTTGTTGCTAAACTCGAGAGACTCGAGAGAGGGAGAGGTCGAGAGACTCGAGAGGGGTCGAGAGAGGTCTCGAGAGAGGGAGCCGGGTATTCGTAGGCTTGCTTGTAGAGAGGGCGTTACGTCACGACCTCGATATGCTGTATTCCAGCTACACGCGCCTCTTGAACGGGTAAAAACCCAGCCAGTCAGCCAATTCATGGTGGCCGATTGGTCCGCACTCGCTTGTGCTTGTTGCATGAGTAACTTTTGTCCAGTGGAGCTCGATGTGTCCAGTCGAAGAGGCACCAAAAGGGGTTATGACTGCTTCAACAAATCTGTGTTGTGCACGTCAGTTGTGTTTTTGCTTGCAGACTACTACTGTAGGTTAAGTTGACAAGGTGTAGAGATAACCAGTCGATTTACATGCGTCTACACGGGACGAAGGAGCCTTTGTTACAGGGGGGTGCATTGACCACGCTCAGGATTAAGCGCAGCGAAATGCGTGTTGAAGACGACTCTCCGTGGGGAGGAGATGAAAAGGGTGTCAGTTGAGTTATGGCAGGACGTGGAGCATGATACAGCAGTGCCTGTTGGATGAACTGTTCCGGCGTAGAGTGGGGGCGGGAGTCTGACCTTCGAGGACATGGCGAAGTGGCAGACAGGATAGGGCCTGCCTATTCAAGTTTCTTGCTTGTTTTGTGCAGGAACAGGCATAACTCTGTGAACCTCAGATGCTTATGTTAGTAGGGGTGGAAGAATGGCGTAGCAGGTGCGAACCCAGTGGTGGATGCACCCAGCGGACAGGCACGATAGGGACGATAGAAGCAAAGCGAGAATATGTCGTGAGTGGTGACGTTTGATTTTGTTGGCGAGCGGAAGCGATGGGCTTTCTTTGTGCATCGATCCCTTCATATTTTTTTGTCAGGGATGCCATCGGCTATGTCGCGTGAATGCTGTTGTAGTTTGCTTACGTTAATGAGTCGGTCTTCTCTCTAGATTTTGGGTTTTAATCTCTCTGGAGCGAACAGATAGGCATTTTCGGAGTGAAAAATGGAGGGTTGTAGTCGTGGATAAGCACGATGAGTGTTGTGAGGAAAGTAGCTGCTGAGCGCTTCTCCGTTCATAGTGGATCAGAAAAAAAGCACCGCAGGGAGGGGAAAAAATGCTTCGAAATACTACTGTAGTTACTGCAAGTGTGTACCTTCCTCTTGCCCCCACTGGCACGCAGTTATATTCCGAAAGATGTACCAGAATCTGGCGCCCATGATCGATGGGAACACGCACAACGAACACCTTTGTCATGTTTAGCGCATTTGTGTTACATGCAATGTTTCTGGATCCTTTCGATTATCTTTGACCTTTCATATAAGTGCTACAAGTGGTGGTAGTTGGATTGTCATCGTGGAAGGCGTCCGCGTTGGGAACCAGTAAATGTACTGCACAGAGTGTTGGAGCGATGTTTTATGTGAAGACGACAACAGTCAGTTGCCCTCTTTTTTTCTTTTTTTGGTCTTCACTTCAAATCAGCGCTCACGGCACTGGTGCCGTTTACTCCAACCCGTGGTCACACAGAAGAGCCCCTCTCTACCCTCCCCTCCTGCGGTACTTTGCCTTCGATTTTTAATGCGAGAAGAGTTCAGCACTCTCTTCCCTCTGTGTACACACGAACTGGCGCTATCCACTAGGCCAGGAGCGGAAGCGAGAGAAAAACTCGCTTTGCAAGAAAAGCTCGCTTACGCCAGGATTCAAACCCCTGACCTGACCTCTAGAAGGTTTCGAGGTCACCAAATAGACCACCGGGGCGACCGGAGACAAAAACATTCGCCCTTTGATTTTTTCTTGTTTGTTTTTCGTCCTATTTATTATGGCGACAGTCCCCCCATTTTTCGTGGTGGGACGTGTACTATAGACTTTTCCACCAGCGTATGTAGAGTACTACCTTTTCAGTGTATTTTTTCGTACAACTACAACCATCCATGGTCACATAGATGGAGGGGGTAAACACCAGGGCTTTTTTTCTTCTTTAATAATATTTGTTTTCATGCCCCACCTTCCTCCTGCGGTGCGTGCTGAATATTTATTTTATCGCGAGAAAGAAGGCTCCAGCTGTCCCTTTCCCTCGTCAACGGTGCTGACGTCGAAGTTTGGTACCACGAGAGCTTTTTCAGCTGTATTTCGCTTTCACCCGCAGAGTTTGCCAATTTTTAGCCCATGGGCATTCGAACCCACGACCTCTGCGTCAAGCGGTCTTCTACGAGGACACCACTAGACCACCGGGGCGTAGAATAGGGTAAGATGTTATCATGAACGGAGATGAAAGGGCTTTTCCAACACGGAGATGTAGCATGGATCAAAGCATTTGTTGGATTTCAGCTTTTTTTACAAGCGGACATCAACGCAGTAGTATTTTAGCAAGCTTACGAACGCATATAGGATACCATCAGGATTGTCATTGGTTTTATTTCAAGTTGAAGAGGAGATATTGTTACGATGTAAATGACAGTAGAAATAAGTCCTACATATGTTGTTGTACTTCGTATTGGTTTAATATTCATCATGTAGAGTATGAGACATTAAGTGAAAGTTTTCTGAGTGAGGTACATTGTCGGAAGGCAAAAATAAATAAACATANGCGTTCGTAAGCTTGCTAAAATACTACTGCGTTGATGTCCGCTTGTAAAAGCTGAAATCCAACAAATGCTTTGATCCATGCTACATCTCCGTGTTGGAAAAGCCCTTTCATCTCCGTTCATGATAACATCTTACCCTATTTATTTATTTATTTATTTATTTTTGCCTTCCGACAAATCTGTCACATCTACTCTCAAACAAGATCTGCAATTGTCGGAAGGCAAAAATAAATAAATAAATGTAAGATAGTCTAGACTACTATGTGTGGAGTGTTTGGCTCTTTGCGTAGTACCAGGTTTCCAAGTGTTCATTGTCTGTCTATAGCTTGGTCTTGCTCTGTTTTGTTCTATAATAGTTAGGCTACTGTGTAGTCTAATACCAGGTTTCCTATACATCCGTTGTTTTCTCGATATATTTTTCTTGCTCTGTTTATTTCTGTTTACAAGTAAGTATTGGTTTCTCCTGCTTGTGTTTACTTGCGGTGGTGTCGGTGTCGTCCTGTAAATTCAAGGCTTACATATGTTCGTACCGGACAGCCACAGCTCATCCTACCTCTACTAGCCCTTGAGCGAAATCAACACAGCACAAGTAGTATGTGCCCTCCAAGCCTTTTTTTGGGAATGAACCACTGTAGTAGTAGTACTACTACCACCGCTGTGTGCTTGTTGGACATCGAGGAAACGTCATGGTCGGGTCACGATGGCCCATGAGTGAAGTTCCGCCTTCCTTGCATCAGGTATTGAGAGCGTTTTACAATCCACAGTCCAACATGCGTTTAACTTTGTGGAGCTCCCTGTGAATTGATTCTGCACCACCGTGATTGGATACTTTCTTTGGGACTAGTCTACTCGCTCACCGTACGCTAGTAGATAGAATGGGTATAAATAAATGGGTATCACAGGTGAGGAAGGAAGGAGGGTGACTGGGAAGATGAGAACATTTTATCCCTACACAGGTGGCCAGTGGGCACGGTTACGGGTGGTTGAAGTGACCTTTAACCCCTAGGCGTTGTACAACCTGCGTAACCCGGTCGGACGCACCGTTGCCAACCTCCAAAATTAGCCAGGGTTCGGGAACGCCGGCCCAAACCCAGTTAAGGGACATTTGTATCTATCTGTGCTTGGTTGCAGGCGAGGTTGTCCAAGCCCGAGAATGTCCATGCCTCGCCGCGAAAACTATGTACTAGCTGGTGTCCACAGAGTACACGACACACCGATTGATTAATTTATTGGACATTCATCCACGGCAATAACAAAAAAAGCTTCAAGAGTGCCGGCATTTGTAAGTCCGATTTTATGGTTGACTACCTACCGTTAGACGCACAAAAAAACAAAACAGTAGTATTATTNACACACCGATTTATTGGACATTCACGGCAATAAAAAAAAAGCTTCAAGAGTGCCGGCATTTGTAAGTCCGATTTTTGTATTATACTAATGTTGACTACCGTTAGACGCACAATAATACAAAACAGTAGTAGTCCACACACACCCCATCTCCGCACCAGTACTATTTTCAAAGGAACCTCCTCCTCGCCGCTGATCTGCAACAAACTGCCCACCGGTCACCCCGCGAGTAGCCCCTCACCCGTTCGTGCGTGCTTATTAGACTATATCTTGCAGCTGTCGCGTTTTGGGGCCTGCCTCTGTTCTTACGCCACAAAGAAGGGCGGGTTCGTTCTTGTTCTTAACACCACGTCGGGCCTGAGCACGCACG